GCAGAACGAAATTCCCTCGACCGACGGGTTCTTGAACTTTTCAGTTATCTTACGCGCAACTTCAGTATCATCTTAAAATATTAAATTCGTAGTCCATCAGTTGTAAGGATTAAGGGACAAGCACTTACTAGGATCATTCATCACTTTATGGTATGCCCAGTGTTCCAAGATCCAGGATTCGGGCAGGTTCAAATGCTTGGCCACTTGTATTGCAATGGCATAGTGTTTGCGGAATACCAAACGACTGAGTATCACCTCGGTATTAAGATGCGAGAACCTGAAATAAAAGTTCTGATAGGACCAATCAATAAAATCAGTTGAATAGATGCTTACTGTTTGAAGGTGATGGGCATGGCAATTCGCTCATGCCGCAATGTGTTAAGAACCCTCAGTATTCGCATAATACGAATATATTCATCGGGATTGTGGTTACGAATAAAGCCTTTGCCATAGTAGGCCGTCTAAAAAGAAATGGAGTGGTTATAAATAATATATAAATATAGGAAATCCATTACTATCCTACCCTAAGCAAGCTCTTTTGAGTTTCCGGACAAAACTCATATGAAGCCGCCTCAATACATTCGGCCACTGCCAGATCGATCTTTTCCCGACACATGCTGAGATACTCATCCGACTTGTAGGATCGCTCCTCAAATTTTTTCTGAGCCTCGAAGAGATAACTAGCCGGTTCCTGACTGTTCACTGCAAATATGTTCTCAACGCATTTGGGCAGGCGCTGTATCATCTCATGTGAACTTTGAGTGATGATGCGAACGCCATCCATTTCAGCCACAAGGAACATCACCGGATCGTAGGGAAAGTCACTGCGATCAGCGTTGCGATTTACTATTAAGAGGTAAGATGGATATGAAATGACCACCGCATCCGCCTCGCTGTTGTCCGCATTCATAATCCACTCCATTTGCAGGGGCATATCTTTACGTCCGGTGTCGAATTCACAATACTTTTGCCGCATATCTACGCTGCCCAGCCAAAGAAGACCGGTATTGGTGTAGAGGGCCAAGTGTTGATGGTTGTACGAGACAGATATCTTAATGATTCGCTCGTGCGGCTTCTCAAAGAGATTGGCGGTAATAGTTCCCACAGTTTCGCCTGGAAACAGTTTAATGACCTCTCGATCCCTTCCCAGCAGACAGTAGCTGTTGCGTCCCTCGGTTACAATCTCCCAGCAGGAACAGTTCATGCTGGAATCTGTTGAGCAATAACATTATAGCCGTTTGAGATTCAAATGAATAATTATTTTCTTACTGGGTATATCCGGCAGCTTTCTTTCAGTCTTGCTGCTGTTCTGTTTGAGGAAAACCCGACCGGATGTGGTCATTACAGCTACTCCTGTGCCAGCTGAGGACTGAAACACCTTGGCCTCCACAATTTTTGTGACACTGGCCTCATTGCCGATGCTGTAAGACTCCTTTTCCCGACCAAACATATCGTACACAAAGACAGTGGCGTTCTCCTGGATGCAGATAAGCTCCTCCATGTCTGACCAGCCCATCGCAATTAGTTTGCCATGGTTCCACTGCGAGGATTTAAATCATTTAGATGATATTTCTTATTTTCTGAGAACTCACCAATATGTGACCCATTTCTCTGCCGGTAGTGTCAAAGATGCGAATCATGGGTCTGGCGGTACCCTTAACCGGCACCAATTTGGTGGGATCACGAGTTACCGCCAGTGGTCCACCGTAGGGAGCCACTTCCACCCACATATACTCCAAGTCCAGGTCCAGCGGCCAATCGGGCGTAGCCAGTTCCACTTTTCTATGAATGCGATTAATGGGCGTATCCTTCAATTGGTTTTTATGGAGCGGTTGGATTGGGGATTACCCACCTGTAGTAGTCCGGTCGCACCTTGAACCACTCTCCCGTATTGTACATGATAGGCATGTTGTCCAAGTACCTAGTTTCTTATTTAAAACGAAAAAATCATTTGCCTAATCCGCTTGCATTTCTCATCCACAGTTTGCAGCGCAACAGCTGATTATTCAGGGTTGTCACTCAACAGCAAATTTGCAAGCCATCGATATTTCTTGTTATCGAGGTTTTTTTAATCATAACATCTTATTTTAATTTTAAGACAAATTAAATTTTTATCGCAAAAAATCAAAAATATATTCGACGATATGCTAAACTGTTTTAAATTAAATGCATAAATATATGAAACATAAAAATAACTCATGTTGTATGTAGTACTTTGAAAGTTGCAGTAAACAAAACAAGTATAAATAAAATATTTTTGAATGTAAAAAAGAGTAAATAACATAATATTAAATTATAATACAGTAATATGCTTAATAGTAACTAAGCATAACGATTACCATCAACAAGATCGAAAAACAATCGATGGTGTAATCGATGGTTGGGACACTAATAAGCGCCTCATTTCACATGTGAAGGGCAGTGAAATCACTGGCCAGTATTAAATTATCTGTTAAATACTTAAAACTTAGACTGACGAAATGGCGGACACCAAGGAGACGATCGCGGAGGGCGTGGAGGCGTTGACACTGAATGGAAAACAGGACGCAGAGCCGGTGGAAACGGGCACGGATGCCCAAGCACAGGAGGGAGCCACTGCACCCACTGAGGATGTTGTGGATCCGTGGAATGTGGCCAGCAGCAATGACGCTGGTGTCGACTATGATAAGCTGATAAGTAAGAAGACCCTTCACAACTGATAAATCAGTTATTTAACTAATTGTAATCTCTTCATGTTGACACGTTGCAGAACGTTTTGGCTCCAGCAAAATCGATGAGGAGCTTATCGCACGTTTCGAGAAAATCACGGGGAAGCCCGCCCATCACTTCATCAGAAGGGGCATGTTCTTCTCGCACCGGGATTTGCATACGATTCTCACACTGCGCGAACAGGGCAAACCCTTCTATTTGTACACGGGTCGTGGTCCCAGCTCCGGATCACTGCACGTAGGCCACCTGGTGCCCTTCATCATGACCAAGTGGCTGCAAGAGACCTTCGATGTGCCGCTGGTTATTCAATTGACAGATGACGAGAAGACCTTGTGGAAGGATCTGAAAGTTGAGGATGCCATTAAGCTTGGACGTGAAAACGCCAAGGATATTGTGGCCATGGGATTCGATGTCAATAAGACATTCATTTTCAACAACTTGGAATTCGTTGGGTGAGGAAATTAAATTGCGTTTTACCTGTACAATGCCTCACATTAATATATATACGTTGCTTACAGAAAATGTCCTGCCATGTACCAGAACATCATTCGCATCCAGAAGTGCGTTACCTTCAACCAGGTGAAGGGCATCTTTGGCTTCGGGGACTCGGACATCATTGGCAAGATTGGCTTTCCGGCCGCCCAAGCAGCTCCCGCCATTTCCAGCACCTTTCCCTTCATCTTCGGCAACAAGAAGGTGCACTGCCTCATCCCGTGCGCCATCGATCAGGATCCATATTTCCGCATGACCCGCGATGTGGCTCCACGTCTTGGATATCCCAAATGCGCGCTCATTCATTCAACCTTCTTCCCGGCGCTGCAGGGCGCCAAAACGAAGATGTCGGCTAGCGACCAGAACTCGGCTGTTTACATGACGGACACGCCCAAGCAGATTAAGAACAAGATTAACAAGTACGCCTTCTCCGGAGGACGCGTAACTGTTGAAGAGCATCGTAGGCTAGGAGGAGTGCCGGAGGTTGATGTCTCCTATCAGCTGCTGAAGTTCTTCCTGGAGGACGATGCCAAGTTGGAGGAGGTGAGAGTGGCTTACAGCAAAGGCGAAATGCTTACGGGCGAGATCAAGAAGCTGGCAGTCGAGGTAAGTGCTGTAATGCTGCAATCATCTCAAAAACATGTACTTAATGTGTTTAAATTAACTACTCAGACGCTCACACCCATTGTGGAACAGCATCAGGCAGCCCGCAAGCTGGTTACGGACGAAGTGCTGGACAAGTACTTCGAACTGCGACCCCTTCAGTTCGGAAGTTAGAACGCCAAGAGGGTTAAGGTACCTGCATTTGCTTGACATCGATTCTTACTACCAGCTTATATAAAGTTAGCTTAAATCGAACTAAGCGAAATTAGTTCAGTACCGAACCGACTAAGGCACTCCTATGTAAATACCTATACAGAATTGATCTATGCCTTGGCTTTGAGTCCGGATGGCGCCCACTTAATGCATCGTTGTACTCGCTATTTATTTTATTTTTTACACAGCGTGTTTATTTTTATAAAGCAGAAAACAATAAACGGCTTCGATTTGCAATTACCACCACAGTGACCCACATTTGGGAAGTTGTTAACAGGTCTGTACATTTTCCTGGAAACACGAAACTTTCAGCCAAGGAGAGAAACGAAGCGACTCCATAGGTTTCTCTACGTAGAACTATACTCTGCTCATATTCATTTCCGATTCCGGGCAAAGGTGCCTCTCTGGTAAGCCAGCTAGCAAAATAACTCTCGACTTCGCAAAAATGTAAGTAATTTTCGCACTTCTAGTTGTTTGTGTGGGTTTTTCTGGTAATCCGAGAACTTGCACATGAATTGAATTTCGCGGGCTCTTAGTAGTTGCATCTATTTGGAAAGGGCACTACCTCTTGTTTTTCCTTTGCGGTTTATATTATTGGGAATTCTGAACTTTCGGAAGAAAATGCTTGAATATATCAAAAAAAAAATTTAATAATGAACTCTTAATAAAACAAAAACATATTACGAACAAATTTGTTATTTATAAAAGAAAAAATGTTGGTATCTATTAAACTGATTATTTGAAATTCGACTTTAACGCAAAATGAAATTCTAATTTACAACATTAAACAAATAAAACGTATAACTAAAATTTGTAGAACAAAGAGAATTATACAAATCATAAAAATACGTATTGAATATATTATATATCAAACCTATATTCGCTTTTTAATAGGATTTTAAGAGCACTTAGTTGGCGATCACTGTTTTTCATTGACTAGAGGGCAACCGAATTAGTTTAAAAATTAGAATTGGGCGAACTACAGAGGTAGATTGCGCAGGTTTTATTTTCTTACCTTCATATAGACGAACCTATATTCATAACTGGGTATATGGATATGTGTATTTTTTTTAATTAAGCAAAAACACTTGTGTTTACATGCGTCGAAAATACACTCTTACACATGGGCTGAGCTCCAGTGTGGGTGCTTGTACATAGCGATCAAAAAGAAAAACTCAAACTGAAGTTGTGGCGACGATCGTCGATCGCTGATCCCAAAAGTGGGATCCGACATAAGTCGGACGCAACTCCAGCCTGCCACACGCGCCTCGATCTCCATCAGCGGCCGTCGGAGTCGGATCGATCGCACAATAGCAAAGAAATTAAGCCGCTTTGTTTGCCCAGCGATAGCTGGGACAAAAGGATCCTCGACGACAAGTTGGTCTCCTATAGATCACCTGTTGACACACGTACAAAGCGGTGGCCCCTTAAACTAGACGAGATGCGGCTCGCATCAACCCCGGATGAGTAGTCACGTCTCGAATCGATGGATCGATCGATGGTGAGCCATTCATCACGACTGGCAGGCTCTCTAATGCACTAAAAGTAAGCAAAACAGAAAAGTACGAGTAAAAAAGAACCACCCGAGTCCAGGTAAACCTGCTGCAGTCCGGCAAGAACGCTTGATCGGTCATTCGAAAAGCGGCTTAAGCGATGACGGATCAACTGCTGAGCTCCACGGCCGGCGCACCGGGTGATCCACCGCCAGTTCTGGTACCCGTGCCAGCCTCCACGGGTGGACCCTATTTGAGCGGTGGTTCCGAGGGCGAGACCGAGTCAGCGGAACAGCCCGTTCTTCTCGAACTGGGTGCTCCGCAATCGACCAGTTGTCCGGCAGTTAGTCTCAACTATACCCTAACCGCGGATGGTGCCGGCTTGCTGGCATATGCGCCATCTCATCCGCCGCACAGCTATTCACCCACCCTGATGGGTGGCTACGAGAAGGAAGCACACAATATGGGTTTGTTGCCAACCACTTATAGCGTGATACCTCAGCCGGTGTCGATGTGGCATGCTGGGCAGATGGCCTCCGGATCGCCAGTGGGCCTGGAGTGCAACAAACCCAGTGAGCTGGTGCCTCCACCCATGTATATGAGCTATGGCGGCGGTAGTATTGCCAATAGCACAGAGGTGGACATTGCCAAGGAACATAATCCTGCCTGGCGGGAGAAGGCGCTGCAAATGGAGAAGGACTACAGACGCACCGCCTGCGATCGGGAACGAACCAGAATGCGGGACATGAACCGAGCCTTTGATTTACTGCGCTCCAAGCTGCCCATATCCAAGCCCAATGGAAAGAAGTACTCCAAAATCGAGAGCCTGAGGTAAGTGGAAGCATCCACCTATGGCTAAATAACATATTCATCTATTTGCTTCTCCAGGATTGCCATCAACTACATCAATCACCTGCAGGCCATGCTGCGGGAGAGCTCCGTGGGTCAAAATGGCAGTGGGTGCTGTGCCTGGAGCGGCGGCAGTAGTTCACCTTATGATAATGGCAACGATCATTGGGGCGCGTAATTTGAATTTACAAATATCTGAGGGAATTCAATTAAATATTCAACTAAAAACTTGTTAGGTTTTATGCGCAGTTTGCCAAAGTCATTCCATGACCCTTTAATAATTTATGGTCATTAGAAATTCGCTCAATTTTGCGACTTTAAAACAGAAAAAAAAGAAATAGCTTTAATTTTGTATTATTCCTACATGTTAACCTTTTTATAAGTGCAATAATTGAATAAATTATCAAGAATAACACGTATGATTTTCATTATTGTTTGCCCCAAAAACTAGATTACAAAACCATCGAGAACTTTGTCTTTTTAGGCTATATATATTTAACTTTACTTTTTAACACTTCACATTTTGATAATTTACATATGATGAATCGTTTGAAGAACTGACTGACTTGGCGAGTATGTTGTGCATATTCGTATATATATAAACCTAAAAAGTACAACAAAACAGGAAAATGTAACAAATTTGCTATGGAATTGTTGCTCAGCCGCAACTGCATCGAAAACTGATAAGTTTGTTAATACTTATTTATAGATAATAAAACCAACTACTGCGACAGCTGTCCGCACACACACAAGCACACAATTTATCCGCTGCTGGATTGAAGTAGAAGTTGGCCAATTTCAACTTAAAAGGGGGACGAAATAACAAAGCGTAATGCAAGCTCCTCCTGCTCCTCTCGCTTCTAAACTCCTCATGCGCTTAGTTGTCCTTCTTGATGCGGGTGGAGGTCATGCGGTAGATGATGGAGTCCCTGCCGGGATCCATGGCAGCGATGGCATAGCAAATGGCCAGCAGCGACAGTCCGAAGATGACCATGAACCACAGGATGATGTTGAAGATCACCGGGTAATCGCTGCCGTAGTACACAGCCAGGTTGAAGGGGTTGGTGGCAGCAGCGTCAATAGTGTCACGCTTGGAACGCGATGCTGTCACGTCCTTCTCCGTGGTCTGCACAAACAGCACCGAGTCGCTGGATTTCTGGGAAGCAGCAAGCAGACGGCTGATAGCGGCCGACAGCAATTTGTTGGCCTCCTCCACGGCCACGGACTTCTCGCCATGAGCCTTGGCCACTCCATCGACCGAAACGCGCAACAACAGGACATTCGAGGGCTTAGACATCTCAGCCAGATGATCGGCGGCACTGTTGATGAATCCAACCTCCTGCAGGAACTGCTTGTCAGCGGTGTGCAGAGAGGGATTCAGGTGCTTGGTGGGCTTGGCGGCTGGGGTCTCGAAATCACCGAAGCAGGACTTCCAGGCTTGAACCTATAAAAAAATGCGTTTAATTAAAGGTATCTTCATCAAATGCATAAGGGGGAAAGCATTGTGTAACTATTCAACATATTGAAGATTAACTTTTTATAACTGTATCAGACAAGAAAAATTAACTTTTTAAATACAAATTTTGAGATCATGTGCTATGCCCCTTAGAGCGGTTTGGCAAATTAGTTTGAATGGCTTCTATTATGAGTTTTCCCATTTAAGACACCACTTACGCCATCATCGAACTGCTCAAAGTTAATATCGCAGACGGGCTCGTTGGCTGCCTCCAGTTCGGCGGCCAGGGCGTTCAGAGAGGCGTCCGTTCCGGAACCCGTCAGCTCGTAAGTTTTGACGTTGCCGGCGGTGGTCACGTGACCAGTGCCCTGGACATGCACCACAATGACGGCCTTGGCCAGGTTGAAGGGATCGTTGATGGTCAGGCCGTTCCAGTTGGTGTCGCCGCTGACGGCATTGCCCAGAGAAGCGTAGAGGACATCACCCACGTAGTGGCTTTCCAGTGCATCGTTGCCCTTGAAACTGATTGCCTTGGGGCGGTTCAGCACGGTGAATTCGCCAGAGGCATTGACTGAGGACGAAATAGATCATAAGTATTGTAAAATATACCATGTTCGTTTCTTTGTCGAAAACTCTGCGCATGCATGTGGGGAGCTCTTTGGAGTCTCGAGTTCTGGGTGTCACAACCCCCAAAACGGGAATCGATGTGTATAGAATATCCACTTTGTAGCCGCTTTCCACTTGCTGCACAGGAGTTTCACTTGCTTATTGGTGGCAGATCTACTTACTGGCTGCTATAAACAGCGAGAAAATCACCAAAACCCTCAACATTTTCAGTTTTCCGCTGGACTTTTAATCATATGACGAACGACTGCAAAGAAAAACCTTTTCGCCTCCCCGATATCACCGTGACTATCATGTGATGAGCAGGGTTGCTGCGGACAGTTATCGAATGGGTTATCTGTAGGGTTATCGAGGAATCGAAACAATCGATTACACACTGGTATTTCTAGTTTTGAAATGTATTATGTATTTTTATCTTATCAATATTTGTGAATCTAATTAGACAAAAATGTTCAACTTAAGCAAAGCATAAACGATTACTTTATAGAAAGATTTAGTAGTCAGGCTTAAAATAATGTATTTTGTATTCACCTTTACAAACTTGAATGTAATAAATCTATCCTAAATTTAAAACACTTTTAACAAACACTAAGCACTGGGACCCCCTTGCAGAAATTTAAAAAAGTTATTTATAACTAATGCATTTTAATCGCGTAGGGCGTCGATTTCCAGTCGAAGTTTTTGTATCTTAAGCAAAGTCAGCGTGCGCTCCACTTTCAGATTGTCCGTTTCCGTTTTGAGGAACTTGGTCTTACTCTGGAACTGACTGATCTCTGCTCGCGCCTTCTCCGCTCGCAATGCAGCTAAACCACTTCTGGGCCTGGCCTCGATGATCGTCGCCGATCCGTTGGCCAAGTCATCCACGTTATGCTGCAATATGTAATGCTGCACGATAAGCGTTAAGATGTCAATACTTTAAAAATTGAGAATAGTTACTTCTTTGCTTTCGTCCAGGTATTCAGCATATTCGGGATTCTTAATCTCGACATTGGAAATTTCAAATTCAATATTTTGCTCTCCAGACTCTTCAGTTTTGGTCAGTTTCCTTTTGCGTATCTCTCTTTTCGCTCTGGGCTGCTCTTTGGGGGTCTCAGCCTCGTCAGCATCGTCCAAAATTTGTTGTATCTGGAATGGAAAATAAATGTAACGTAAGTACTTCATGTCTATTTTCCCATTTTTCATCTCTGTACCTTAACAATGATCTCCTTGCCTTCGTTGGCATTGCCCAAGCTGCCGTCATCGTCGCCCGAATACTTCTGGATCTGCACAATAAAGATTTTTTAGAGTGTAAACATTGGTGTTCTTTTTTGATTTACACATGTAGAAGATATGGGTTAGTAATTTAAGAAGTCAAATCTTAGACACTATAGTTTGGAGAAACTTCGAGCGGAATGTGTGTCAAATTACTTGGGGTTGACACTATAATGTGGAAATTATCTTTCAGATTTATTTTTAAGTGTATTAGTTTGCAGGAATCCTCTGCCATACATATACATGCTATATATCCGCATACGCAGTGTCGAATTACCTTTATCCTGGGGGACTCGTCCTGATCTTTCTCGTCAGCAGAGGTGTACATTACAGCACTTCTACCTCGCCGGGCATCGCAGGTTTGCCTACAATTTAATAAGAATTACTCGACGTATGTAAACATAATGCTAGTGTATGTTTTAATGGTTACCTGTGTAACGATAGGCGGGATAGCGCTGTATTTTGTAGTACTTTTTCGCAAAAGTGACAGGTGGCCGAGTATTTGCCATTCTCCAAATTGGCGGTAAATCCGTGGGTTCTGTAAAAATCTTCAGACTTTTTTCTGGGCATTTTATAATGCAATAATCGTAATAAATTCCAATGTACTATACACGATGCAAATAAAAATGGCTTCTCTACAGATGGAGGTAAAATCCACGCTTGCATCGGATAGACATGTATCGATATATCGATAGAACAATTTTGAGTTGATCAGTTCGACGCGAATATTTTATTCAAAACGATATTTAATTGAAAAGGAAATAATTTGAACATTTTGGATTCTACAATATATATGAATATCTGTAAAATATATATTACGGGCGGAGTATTTAACTTTTCAATAAGTTTCGCTGATTTATTTTACTGTCTTTTACCTATTATATATTAGTAATTAAGAATCGCATTTAAAATATTGTCTTTTTTTTAATGCTACGCACAAAAATTAAAATTTGTTGCGCAAATATTTAATCCCTAGGTATGATAAATTAATTACTTAGCTTCACTACAATAATTTCATCTTATTTTTGTACGTGAAACAAAAAAAATCATAAAACTATTATTTTTAAAAATCCGGTTTCGATGAATAGAACCATTTTAGCCAGACGAAGTCTTACGCTACAATTCAGTCATTTCACAGATTATTAAAACTAATTAAAATAATGCATTTTCAAATACCAGCGACCATCGATAGAAGTCGATTGTATGTCATCGATACATCGTTTGACTTTACAGCAGCAACACTTCCACGTAATTTAACACAACACTGTATGTAAAAATGTCGCAAACAAAAAAGGCCAAGCGACCCTCGGGTTTTTCAAAGGATGCAACTTGGAAGAAACTTGGCTTTCTGCCGGCATTCAAGGAGGGCAAGGATGGGGAGCCCAAGAAGTACCGGGCGCTGTGCACCCATTGTCGGAAATGCCAGTCGAACACCAGCATAGACCGACTGATTCTCCATAGGTCCGTATTATAATTTTTCCCGCTCATTTGCAAGTACAGTCCGTAATATGTATGTATGTGGCCACAGGAAATCGTGTCCCAAGTTCCGGGAAGACCTCACCGCAGAGTTTGGTATTAAGATGGAAACTACGGACGCCACTCCGGCGGAACAGAGCTCTTCTGGCTCCACAATTGACTTCGCATCAAATGCTCTACTGGACAAACTAATCGATGAGGATGACAGCAGTGCACGCAATCAGGAATCCAACTTGGTGAGCTACTTGACCGATTTGGACCAACTGGTGATGCCATCATCCGACGCCCATCGACTGCAGAAGGATCTGATCAAGGCGGAAACGGAGTACCTCGTGGTCAAATCCGAGTACTTCACAAAGATGAACGAAATCTCCGAACTAAAACGCACCGCCACCTTGTTGGAGGCAAAAAAGACACAGCTGGAGATCGCCAAACTTCGCGCCGAGTGCGAGTAGCCTTAGTTTTTTAAGTATAATACATTTAAAATTTCATCAAAATATATAAATTCATATTGATAATGAATAATAGTAATGCGGGGACTTCGATGGAACAATTGATAAAGATGCCTGTATACGTGGGCTTGCTGATTAAGACCACTGCCCAGCTCTTGTCGCACCCAATGGAGCTAGTTCGTGTGAATATCCAGGCGAACGTAATCCACCACAGTCGACTAAGCATAAACCATATGTTCCGGCTGATGGCCCGCCATGGATTACCTGGATTTTATTACGGCGTTGTGCCTTCTTGTCTACGTTGCACTGTTTACACCATATCAACGTACACGTTGTTCTACAATTTACGGGATAACAAGTACGTCCAAATGATGCAGCCGTATAACACTAGCACGATTCTGGGAATAGCTGGATTTTGGGGCGGCATATTGGCAACACCCTTCGCAAAACTGGCGGTCATTCGGCAGGCGGATATTACGCGCGGATCCTACGAGAGGCGCAAGTAAGTATTTTACCAAATAAACATACAATGGCAATTGCCGGTTTTGAAACCAGAAAATACCTATATGTCTATCTTTCTAGCTATCGCAATTTCTGGAGAGGACTCACATGTATGTACGGAAAGGGAGGATTTATATATCTATTCACCGGTTGGAAGATAAACTCGTTTAGTAGCGCATCCGTGGCCATACTGTATACTCCCATTAGTGATCAGGTCCATACTATGATATCATGGTTTCACAAACTCGACGAGCCGTGGATTAGTGATCTAATAACTATGGCACTGACGGGCAGTATTATCACAGTCATTATGACTCCAGTGGATGCGTTGGCTACGCTAACTTTAAACGAATCGTCACACTATGGTCGCACATCCTATTCATACCTGTGCCAAAAAATTATCCGAAAACATGGCTACAAAGGCTTCTTTTTTGGATGGAAACCGGCACTTATGGCTCTTATACCACACACAGTTTTGGCAACATTTGTATATCGTTTCATACTAGATCGGTACATAACATAAAGACCCCCATATTTATTCAGAAATCTTGCAATGTATAACTGACAGAGCCTCCCTAAATTCTGGTAAATGTGCGGGCATTGTTTGGGTTGTCCCATTTTCCAGTTGAAAGCTAAAGACTTCGGTGAACCGCGAAACGAGCTGTGAAGAAAATAAGACTGTCAGACATAACCAGAAATATGTAGATATGGTCACAATAGCTCACCTTTAGAACTGGTGGCGCCTTTTCGTGTGCCACCAAACATTCCATTAGGATAGCCACAAATTTCCCGTAAAACTCCGGCAGGTGATGGTGCAAAGCCTGCAGTGGTATTGGCATGATGCAAACCAAATAGCATCTCAGCATTTGCTCCAGCAGCGCAGTGCATACCTCGACACCTTGGAGCAGCTTATCCGACTCCAGGACGAGCATTTGCAGGATGGCCTTGGCCCACCGATAGCTGGTGCTTACATTTAGAGCAAGGCATTGGTCCCGACAAGCCGCCAACATATCTGGTTCGCTTATATCCACGGCCAGAGCAGATTCCACATCGCTGCGATTGATGGTGAAGTAGTACCCCAGTCGGATGATGAACTGCAGCAGGCAGATGGAAATTTTTGGGCTAGAGGCCATTGTCACGTTCTGAATGAGGCGGTTCAACATGTCGTCGCATTGGTTCCACTGAAGTTGAAATAAGATTTATGTAGAGTGACTACAGAGAGTTTTAAGATACCCACCGTAAAAGCATCTAGATCTACAAAGTGATCCAGACACAAATACAGGCAGTTCCAAACAGAGTCGATGGCTTCAATGGATTCCATGTTATAGGCATCCTTGAGGGCATGGTCATAGATCACACTGTGCACATTGAGCTCCTGAATGTCCTTGGGATCCTGGGGAATGAGGTGTTTCATTGAAGGTCTTGGCGGCCAAGTGGCATAAAACATACGCTAAAGTTCAAAAGAATTGAGAAGATATTGACCCCAAGTTGCTTGTAGATAGGATCAAAGCACTCCCGCACATTAAGACCCACGGATAGTGCGAAAGCCAACATTTGGGTGGGCATTCTCGATTTCCTTCGGTAACGCAGCTGCGGGATAAGGTAAACAAACTAAACTATCTGGATATATAAATGTCTATTACTGTATACCTCTAGATATCTGCCGAAACCATGAACAGCTCCTAGTTGTTTCTTCCAGCAATCCCTGTGCAGTTTCCTTTCGTAGTATTTCAGGACTTGAACATCCGTCGACTCCCACCAATAGGAAGATAGCTTTCTGGCCAACTCGTTGGCGTTCCTCAGCAGATTATCAGAATCGTCCTTAAGTTGGTAAATTGTGGGCGAAGCTGTCAATTCGCAAATCAGGAGGAGGAGCTTGACTCTCAGCTGAAAGTTAACTAGATTGTAGCCGTGGAATTGTGTTTTTGTAAAGCACAACCTCTTCGTGTCCTGCATCGCCACTCTTCTGGAGGAATTCCTGCACCAAATCGTAGAGCTTTGGCAGATCCTGAATAAGTAGGGAATGGTAACTTTCGAATTGACACGTATCCAGCTGAATGTTGTCCAGGTCCTCCTTCAGCTCCGGCAGCATATAGAACTCCACCAGCTCACACATGTGGGCGACGAGCGCTTCGGTGGTATCATCGTATGTCATTTTGTTTTCGAAAATTCCCACAAAATGTGGGGAGCCAAAACGTAAACAGTAAAGCCGGCCAAATCCGATAACACTTGGCAACTATCGATTTAACAGAATTCTTTACATAATTTTTAACAGATGGAAACGCATTAGCAGAAATGAATTCGTTACAATCTTTATTTTCAAATAAAAGAAATTTCAGCTTTGTAACAAACACACAAAATGTTTTTTTATGTTCACAAGTATTATAAGACAAAAATATATAAAATCAATAAAAAAAATCTTTTTCATATGTATTTTGCATATTTTAATGAATTATTCATAATTTTTTCAATTTGTATTATCAATATGACATTATTTTTAAATACAAATATTTTTTAAATTGTAAGCAAGCTTGATTCGGCGGAATAGTAAGATATATCGAGCCCAATGGCCGTAAGTTCCTGGTCAATCCAATTCCGCACCAAGGCCACGTTGGCATAGCCCGATCCAATCCCGTTGCATTTGATTCCGAAAGACATAACGCCACTAAGTTGGTAGCGATCTCCAATGGGGCAGGCCAGTGGTCCGCCACCATCACCATGACACATATCGACGGATATCTGGCCTTCGGCGCATAAGGTGGATCTGCTCAGACAAAACTCAGGTCTACAATCGCTGGCGTCTTTTAGGATGCGATCCCGACACTCACTAAACCCCACAACATGAAATGGCACCCGTTTCATTATTGCGATAGATTGGCCCAAGTCTCTGAAGCCATCCTTGCCCCATCCATTGGCATAGCACTCTGATTTGCGTGGTGGATTAGCTCCGTGATCAGGTAGACATATCACATTGATATGTGCGTCCAGTTCGAACCATTGCTGGAGGATTAAAAGTGCCACGTCATTTTGAAAATTGTCCATTCTGAATGCGGGATGCTTTATAACACTTTGCACCTCTATTTCTTTCGGCTTAAGACGCTCATCAGGGGATTTAATGTTCCATTCTCCAGCACGAACCGTATAGGTTTCACCATTTTCAACCCGGTTAGCAGCAGTCAAAACCACCCGGGGATGTATAAGTGTGCCGACAAAGGAATAGTTACCAGACTTCAGGACAGCCACTGTCCAGGGAAATTCACCAAAATTGGATTCATAGTTTGTGATATCAATATTCGCATTCCACTCCAAGCCAGGAACATTGCGAATTCCACAGCCTGGCCTGGGTTTCAAAGGCTCATTTCCCAATTTATTGGAATTAAAAATTACATCCAGGTTTCTTTCCATATTTTCCTGTTCTTCAGCACGATCTAAAATTTGCGCACTCAGCTTTGAAACAGCACATAATAAGACCAATAGCTTTAGGAATCCGGTCATTGTTATCTGAAATATGAGTCATACATTTTATTAGTATCAAAAAAGATTAATATTTTAATGAGAACAATTCTTAATATATTCACGTGGTCTACTTCTTTTATTTTCCAATTTATATATCCTCATATATCCCTAGAAAGAATGCCTAACCAGAAAGTTTTATCCGATAACAAATTTCCATTTACCTAATTTTATAATTATGAATTATTAATTTTTGTATATACCATAATTGCTGTACCTCTAATCCAGCTTATATTTTAAATTATTTTGCTTTGATAAGAGTGGCGAACAACTGAAACTGAGCGCAGCTTAAGAAAGACTGACGGTCTCAGCTTTTGTCACAAACCTCCCTAACTTTAAAGCATATGTATGTTTATACGTGAGTTGATAAGAACAAGGTACATACAAACAGTTCTGACCATTGATAAAGAATTGTTCAAAAAACGCCACCGTCTCGTGATGATCGGTGCTAAACAAAGCGGATAGTTCAATGAGTGGGGATCGCAATCTCAAATCCTGCTCAGCGGCCGCATAATCCAACTTGTGACCCAGCAGCCAGACCATCTCCTGGGCCCACGTCGATCCAGTTCGTGGATAGGACACCATCCACACATCGTCCTGGTAAACGGGAAGCGATCGGATTGATTCGCCCAGCTCCACGTACTTCCTGGGAATGATCAACTGGTCTGGGAGCACCTCAACAAAGCAATTTTGAACCGGAAAGACGGCATTAGTGCGTCGGAGTATGTCCGCCTCAAGTTCGCGATAGATCAGCTGCATGGCTCTGTATCTCCCAACTGTTTTGACCAAAAAGCCAACGCACAATGAAGCCAAAGTCGAGCCGAGTTGCAAGTGCAAATTCGAACGAGCCAGTGAAATAAAAACTGTGAAAATGCCTCTGGTAGTTTTCACTAACACAAACTGGTTTGCTTAGGAAAAGATCTTGTAAACTAAAGCCCAGTTTCAATAAGAAGCATAAAATTAAGATCAAATTTTTAAAAACTAGAATTAATATCTAGAATTTAATAATGCGGATTAAAAAACATTAATGTTAATGCTTGGCAATTGTCTTAAGTGCATTACTTTTTCTGATTATTTGAGTTGATGCCACTTAGCTAAGTTTGACTGTAGTTGGATAGCTTTTCCTTTGCGCTTAGTTGACGTAAAAGAGATCTGGCAATCTGTAGAAAACAACTATCATTAGAAAGAGTTAGATAAAAGTTAGTTAGTTAGAATCATTAAAAATTCGAATGCTTTATATTACTTAGAAAATAAATATTAATAGTAAAAAGTGACCATTTAATGATTTTCCCAAAGGTATGTTCCAATGTTAATTGGATCAAACACAGTACCGAAAGACTATGTTCCAGTGGAATTGGCATGATGCAAACCAAATAGCATCTCAGCATTTGCTCCAGCAGCGCAGTGCATACCTCGACACCTTGGAGCAGCTTATCCGACTCCAGGACGAGCATTTGCAGGATGGCCTTGGCCCACCGATAGCTGGTGCTTACATTTAGAGCAAGGCATTGGTCCCGACAAGCCGCCAACATATCTGGTTCGCTTATATCCACGGCCAGAGCAGATTCCACATCGCTGCGATTGATGGTGAAGTAGTACCCCAGTCGGATGATGAACTGCAGCAGGCAGATGGAAATTTTTGGGCTAGAGGCCATTGTCACGTTCTGAATGAGGCGGTTCAACATGTCGTCGCATTGGTTCCACTGAAGTTGAAATAAGATTTATGTAGAGTGACTACAGAGAGTTTTAAGATACCCACCGTAAAAGCATCTAGATCTACAAAGTGATCCAGACACAAATACAGGCAGTTCCAAACAGAGTCGATGGCTTCAATGGATTCCATGTTATAGGCATCCTTGAGGGCATGGTCATAGATCACACTGTGCACATTGAGCTCCTGAATGTCCTTGGGATCCTGGGGAATGAGGTGTTTCATTGAAGGTCTTGGCGGCCAAGTGGCATAAAACATACGCTAAAGTTCAAAAGAATTGAGAAGATATTGACCCCAAGTTGCTTGTAGATAGGATCAAAGCACTCCCGCACATTAAGACCCACGGATAGTGCGAAAGCCAACATTTGGGTGGGCATTCTCGATTTCCTTCGGTAACGCAGCTGCGGGATAAGGTAAACAAACTAAACTATCTGGATATATAAATGTCTATTACTGTATACCTCTAGATATCTGCCGAAACCATGAACAGCTCCTAGTTGTTTCTTCCAGCAATCCCTGTGCAGTTTCCTTTCGTAGTATTTCAGGACTTGAACATCCGTCGACTCCCACCAATAGGAAGATAGCTTTCTGGCCAACTCGTTGGCGTTCCTCAGCAGATTATCAGAATCGTCCTTAAGTTGGTAAATTGTGGGCGAAGCTGTCAATTCGCAAATCAGGAGGAGGAGCTTGACTCTCAGCTGAAAGTTAACTAGATTGTAGCCGTGGAATTGTGTTTTTGTAAAGCACAACCTCTTCGTGTCCTGCATCGCCACTCTTCTGGAGGAATTCCTGCACCAAATCGTAGAGCTTTGGCAGATCCTGAATAAGTAGGGAATGGTAACTTTCGAATTGACACGTATCCAGCTGAATGTTGTCCAGGTCCTCCTTCAGCTCCGGCAGCATATAGAACTCCACCAGCTCACACATGTGGGCGACGAGCGCTTCGGTGGTATCATCGTATGTCATTTTGTTTTCGAAAATTCCCACAAAATGTGGGGAGCCAAAACGTAAACAGTAAAGCCGGCCAAATCCGATAACACTTGGCAACTATCGATTTAACAGAATTCTTTACATAATTTTTAACAGATGGAAACGCATTAGCAGAAATGAATTCGTTACAATCTTTTCAAATTCATTTTCAAATAAAAGAAATTTTAGCTTTGTAACAAACACACAAAATGTTTTTTTATGTTCACAAGTATTATAAGACGAAAATATATAAAATCAATAAAAAAAATCTTTTTCATATGTATTTTGCATATTTTAATGAATTATTCATAAGTTTTTCAATTTGTATTATCATTATGACATTATTTTTAAATACAAATATTTTTAATTTGTAAGCAAGCTTGATCCGGCGGAATAGTAAGATTTATCGAATCCAATGGCCGTAATTTCCTGGTCAATCCAATTCCGCACCCAAGCCACGTTGGCGGTGACCACTGTCCAATCGCTGTTGCATCTGACTAAAGAAATCAGAATGCCAGTAAGCTGATAGCGATTTTCCTGTGGATTTCCAAAGGGGCAGGCCAGTGGTCCGCCACCATCACCATGAAATACATTGAAGGCTACCTCACCTTCGGCGCATAAGATGGATTTGCTCATGCTAAATTCAGATCTACTGTTGGAATTCCGGAGGCTATCCTGACAACTGCTATAATTCACAGTATGCAATGGTATCCGTTTCATTATGCCATTAAACAGCTCCAAGTCAGCGAAGCCATCCTTGCCCCATCCATTGGCATAGCACTGTGATTTGGGTGGTGGATAAGCTTCGTGTTCAGGTAGACATATCACATTGATATAATCGTCCAGTTTGAACCATTGCTCGAGGATTAAAAGTGCCACGTCATTTTGAAAATTGTCCATTCTGAATGCGGGATGCTTTATAACTCTTTGCACCTCTATCTCCTGATGCTTTTGAGTCCAATTAGTGGATTTAATGTTCCATTCTCCAGCACGAACCGTATAGGTTTCACCATTTTCAACCCGGTGAGCAGCAGTCAAAACCACCCGGGGATGTATAAGTGTGCCGACAAAGGAATAGTTACCAGACTTCAGGACAGCCACTGTCCAGGGAAATTCCCAAATATGGGATCTATATTTTACCACACCTTCTTTATCGCAGTCCGATCCCAATTGACAATTGCGAATTCCACAGGCTCTATGTGAGCTTGAACGTAAACTTGGAGGCTTAGAAAGTGCTTCCAAGTGTATTTTGCAATTTTCCTCTACTTCAGAAGCATTCTGCTTTGAAACAGCACATAATAAGAGTAATATTTTTAGGAATCCGGTCATTGTTATCTGAAATATGAGTCACATTTTTATTGGTATAAAATAAGATTAATATTTTAATGAGAAAAAATGTCCAAATTTGTTATATACAATAATTATACTAGCTAGTAATAATATACTAGCTTATATTTTTAATTATTTTCTTTTGATAAGAGTGGCGAACAACGGAAACATTAATATACTTGAAGTTGTATTGTTCGCGAGCGCAGCTTAAGAAAGACTGACGGTCTCAGCTTTTCTCAGAAACCTCCATAACTTTAAAGAATATATGTATGTTTATACGAGAGTTGATAAGAAACAAACAGTTCTGACCATTGATAAAGAATCTACAAAACTGTCAACTAAAAATATAGCGTGTATGTAGCTTATGCGTAACCAAAAAGCTTGGTTGTCATTACTTATGGTCTCCATAAATGAGTCACATATTTTTCCAATTACAGGCCAATAACAGTGGGTTAATTAAATGCTAATACTATCAAAGAGTATTATCAGCAAGAGGTTTCTTCACTCGCAGTCAAAGGTTAGTCCAGCACCACGAATATGCTTCTCGCTCCATTCATCAAAGCGTTCCGACATCTCATTGCTCATGTGATTGCGCCAGTCCCCGATTTTGCCATTCCGAATAAACTTGGAAGATGAATCCGGAAGCACCTTCTCCAGATTCACCGCCTTGTTCGCCCGCATCTTGTCGAATGTGAGGTGATTGCATAGTTTCTGCAAACTGCTCACATCGAGGAGGTTCTCGACTCCCAGGAATCTTGCACTGCGACGAACCACACTGGGCAGATCCTTGACCATGTCCTCGTACTTGATGAACAGCACATTCTCGTCCTGACACCGTTTCCAAAAGGGCAGCACGTGCTTCCAATAGGATCCCATCGGAGTGTGTCCCTCCAGAAAGAGATCCACAAACTGCTCAAAGTCCCCATTGATGCCGTGCAGCAACTTGCAGTAGTGAAAGTACGAGACGCAGAGATCCTTGGGATTTCGAGCAGTGTACACGATCCTCGGCTGCACCGACTCAAATTGCTCGGGTAATAATTGCCAGGATAAGTGGGAGCGTGCAAAACGCGGGCGTGGCAGATTGCGAACCAGGTCCACGGTGTTTCCAAACTTTTGGCTGTCAGGCGAGGAGAAAGTAAAAGGAGGCCGCTTTTCTTGTATACCTTGGGCAAGGAAGCAAATACGATACTTACGCCACCGTCTCGTGATGATCGGTGCTAAACAAAGCGGATAGTTCAATGAGTGGGGATCGCAATCTCAAATCCTGCTCAGCGGCCGCATAATCCAACTTGTGACCCAGCAGCCAGACCATCTCCTGGGCCCACGTCGATCCAGTTCGTGGATAGGACACCATCCACACATCGTCCTGGTAAACGGGAAGCGATCGGATTGATTCGCCCAGCTCCACGTACTTCCTGGGAATGATCAACTGGTCTGGGAGCACCTCAACAAAGCAATTTTGAACCGGAAAGACGGCATTAGTGCGTCGGAGTATGTCCGCCTCAAGTTCGCGATAGATCAGCTGCATGGCTCTGTGTCTCCCAACTGTTTTGACCAAAAAGCCAACGCACAATGAAGCCAAAGTCGAGCCGAGTTGCAAGTGCAAATTCGAACGAGCCAGGTTAATGCCTCTGGGAGTTTTTACTCAAAAAACTGGTTTGCTGTAGAAAAGATGTAAACTGAATCCAGCTTCAGTAACTTTTAAGGCAAGTTATTGAATCAAAATGATCAATATTTTAAAAACAATTTCTAAATAACTAGAATTTGAAAACATGGATGTTATTGTTGATGCTAATTGATCCCACTTGAGTTGAGTGTATCCCACTTAGCTAAGTTTGACTGTAGGTGGATAGTTTTTCGCTTACGGTTCGTTGACTTGAAAGAGATCGGGCTATCTGTAGATAACAACTATCATTACAATGAGTTAGAGAATCATGAGTTAGAGAAAAATGACACAGTTTACAAGAAAAGCTTCTGTTTAGATTTAAATATATTTCAATTCGTAATACTATATACACACGAAATCTTTATCTCAATTACAGCTAAATTGTCTTAATGAGCCTTCGTCTCGTCCATTTCCTACGGATCTTGTTGTCCATTTGCAACTGGAATACTACAACTCGTTGTGGATATATTCCGTGGTCACCTTGGCCTCGCCCTCGTGGAAACCATTGCAGTCGACTGGGTATTTGGCCTGTTGACGGGCATTCGCAGAAATAGCGGTTAGAAAGCGGCGACAAACAGAAGTACACAGAGAAAACAATGTATATGATTAGAATGTTATCCAATGAAAATAAACTAACGTGACAATAGCGTAGTACTTAGAAAATTAATATTAATAGTGAAAAGTTACCACATAATAAGGTGACCAAAAGTATGCAATATACAATGTACATTGGTTCAAAAAGAGTATTATTTTTTTTTTCCTAAAGCTTTTTTGAGGCGTACGGGCGCCGATTTGGGCGTGCCGGCTGACTATAGTCTAGTTAGCTTTATCAAAAAGAGTAACGAAAGCCTACTTAACATACATACATACTTTTGGGTATCTGTATAGGTGGTTTTATATCTTCTTCTTTCTAGGTATATCCCATTTCTCACTGTGCATCACTGTGGCCGCTACTCACCTCGCAATTGTATGGCGCATTGATCACACCGAAGAGGGTCCAGAACGGCGTACCGGTTTCCGTGCTAATGAAGATTGCCGCACCCATGCTCCCGATCTTGACGATCTTCGGACTGACTCCGGCAATTAGACTGGACGCCGATGTTGGGCGATTCTGTTGGCCTTGTTGGCTCTGCTTGGGCTGATGGTGCTGCTGGTATTGGTCATGCTGCCTCTGCTTCTCCTGCTGATCGAGAGCCGCTGCATTCAGCTGGCAGAGCACATAGCGATCGCATTGCGGCGACTTGGAGATGTATCTGTAGGCGCGATGGACTTTGAGCACCGGTTCAATAACCTGTTTGCCATTTGGTCCATTGTCGGATTCGATCGGGTGCGTGAGCCATGGCATAGAGGAGAAAATAGTGGCGTAATTAATTTGATTTGCCCCAAGTTAAGTGCTTAGTACAGATGCAGCACATCCAACTAGGCCAAGTTATTCAATTATAAACACTTCATTTGAAGTCGAAATGGATATAATGGGTCTAACCACATAGTATTTTTTTTTTCAATGTGAAATCTTATCAGAACTTTGAGAACTTTAGGAATTACTCTTTGATTAGTGCTATTCCCAGATAAATATCTCCAATTACCGCCTGCGTAGCCCAGTTCCCATACCAGATCAGATCAGATCAGAGATTCTGCTTACCTCCAGGTTGAGCGTATCCGTTAGCTTGTCGCTGATCTCGGTGGCATTGAACTGCAGTAATCCGCGTGCCTGGCCGAGTTTCAGCAGTTCCTTGGCATAGCCCACGGCTGGCTTGACGTACTGCCTCGAATCGATCTTAACGTTCAGATGATGCTTGGCCACGTGGTCCAAGAGATTGGAGATGGTCTCGCCCGGACGGGTGGGATCGAAGTGGGTCTGCTTTGGGTAACCTTGAGACTTCAGCAGGCCGTTAAACATGATCTGTGCCGTCTGGAAGTATCTGTAGGAGAAACAACAGTGGAGAAGCGGACAAATTGATGAGTTTCAATGACGCAGCACCGCCGAGTGAAAGGGTCTCTAGAAAGTGGAAGTTGTTGTGCACTTTTCTTGCTGTCTAACGATGGGGCAACGCAAAACAGTAGAAGACCATTAGAAGTCTGAGAAGCCTGACCTACTTAGGAATCATGCAAAAATGTCTGAATCCAAATTGTACACAAAGAAAAATTGCCTATGCTTATGCTTTTCTTCAAGCTGCATGTCGTTTGCTTCGAATTCCCAAGTCGTTTTTCCGATATGAAATGTAATCATAGTTTTGGATGTTTGCTTAAGAAAGTAAAACCGTTGATAAAAAGTTTGGATTCCCAATGATATTTTAAGCTATTCTGAATTGGTAAGATTTGTAGATAAGAATTACTTGATCTTTCGGACATGTGTACTTGCGAGGCAATTTCCCCTGGCTAAAACTGCCAACCGGTTTTGGCCCGCTTTATTTACTTATTTGTTTGTTTTAACGATGCCGTTGACTTCTGTATCTTCTGCATATCAACTGTAACTGTATCAGAGCCTGGACTTGGCACTTGGGCCTGTTGACCAGTTGGATTAGCAGGCACGTTCTAAAGAACCAGCACCGAAAAAAGTGGGTCAAAAGGTAGCCGCATCGAACATGCTCGATGGCCAAACGGGTTGTCGCTAACGGGAAATGGTTAGCACAGGCTTAGCAAGCAGCTGTTCGGATTCTCAATCAGAATCGGAATCACGATCGGAATAGACATTTGGACTGGAAGATGGTCTTCAACGGGGGCCAAGAATGGCAGCCAGGTGCTAAATGCATTTGCCACCGTTGCAGAGCAAAACGTGATCCACAATTAACACGCTTTGCCCATCTGAGCCATTGAGCCACGTTGACCGGCTGAGACTTACCTGAGATACACCTCCGGATTGGCCAGGTAGCTGGCCCAGTCGGCCAGGTAGAGTGTGGCCGACTTGATCCAGCGGCGACGGAAGGATTGGTTGTTCAAGGACTCGAACAGCTTGTCGTAGTCCAGCTTGCCATCCGCACCCTTGAAGCCCTGCAGGTGGAGAAGAGTAGAGTAATTAGCATTACAAATTGAAATTTTACAGATTATTTTACTAGCGTAACATATCAGAACTTCTATCTAAATGTAAGCTAGGAATATAAACGACTAATGAGACAATTTTAAATTGTTTTTTGTTCTTTTCCGCTAATTGTTTCTATATCAATTTAAATGTATATATTTCGATTATTTCCGCTCAATTTACTACATATATGTGTAGTCTAAGCAGTTTGTTCATAAGGCCTTAAATATGTTGAATCTTTTTCTAAGCCTCACGGCAGGTAATACAATGATCTTCAAATATATGAACAGCTTCAAAATTCTAAGAAGATAACATCAACTATATCTAGTTAAGTGTGTTTGAGAGATCCACCTTCATGATCTTGTTAACTCCGGATTTCTCGTACAACGCATCAGCCAGCTCCGAGTTGGAGAAGTGATCCCACAGCACGTGAATGTGCTCCAGGAATGGGGGCAACACCCAGGCGTGGCTCTTGTGCTTCTCCTGGGTGCTCTGGCCCTCGGGACCGGCGAAGGAGCTAACCGCCTGCATGACCAGTGGCAGAAGGTTCATCAGTCCGTTCTCCGATTCTGGTTCCTCGCCGGCGGAACGTTTCTGCTGGTGATGATGTGAGCCCTTATCGTTGCCCTGGGTGTTCATGAAGGCAGATGCCACTTGCAGAATGGTATCCAGACCAATGCCAGACTCAGAGCCACCAGCGCCATGGCTGCGCTTTTGCTCTGGCGTGGTTTCCTCATCATCGCTCTGGGTGAACATCTCCAGGACATTGCCAATGATGGAGGGATCGAAGCCACCGCCCTGACCACCCTGACTCTTGGACAGAAGGGTGCCCAGGCCCGAGAGAATCTGCATGGCTCCACCAGCACCGCCGCCTCCTGCTCCGCCACCAGATTTGCCACTGGCCTGCATGACGGTGCCAATTAGGGAGGCCACACCCGCCAAGCCAGCACCACCTCCACCATTGTTGCCACCGTTCTGGTTGGACAGCGCCTCCTGGAAGAACATGGAGGCCATGTCCAGCAGCGGATTGGACTCATCCTCGCTGGCCAGAGAAGGAGCCAGCGGTTGGAGGCACAGCAAGCAGGCCAAGAGCAGAGCTCGTCTCACGTACAACATTATACTTCAGGAACTTTCACAATCACACACTTGAGATACTTTGGGGCCAATTAAGCGACGCAGCCACAGAACGCGGAAGACGCTCCACTGAGCACACGAATTATATATACTATATATATCTGGTTAGATATTGCCAAGATCGGAGAACGGAGATCGGAGATCGGAGATCGCAGCGTAGAGCAGCCAGCACAGCCGAAAACTTTCTTTCTTCTGCGGCTATGCGCCAGTTTGTAACACTTCTTAAGCCAACGATTCTGGGGGCCTTCGAACATGTTCGCTGTGAGCTCTTCAGAGCTCCCACCTTTCTTCGTGTACAAATCTCCAGCTCTCTCCGCCGCTCTCACCTGTTTCTACAAAGACTCTCTCGCGGAATGGAATTCTTTACGCCTGCGCTTTGAACACGTCAGTTTTGCCGTCTTGTCCCCACACATAAACGAGACAAAAGAGAAGACGGAGAAAGAGCGGAGCAGCTTTGGTTTTTACACGAAAAGAAAATTGTGGTGCAAAGATCAGAAAGGCATATTTCGTTAGGAAAGGGTTATACCAAATGTTTATACTTAAAAACTTAATGCAGTGGTCACAAAGGGATCAAAACAGAATTGATAGTTGATCAAAATACGTTTTTTTTTAATAAGGTATCTTCATAATATTTTAATAAATATAGATATTAAGAGTTATTGATTAGGACTACAAATATTTTATTGAATATAAATATTAAATGTTATTAATTAGGAAAATTAACCGGTTGACTGAGAATAACTTTTCAACTTATTTTATGAGGTAAAATAAGGTGCT